CCCCCCCCCACCCGAAACGAACAATTTATATAGAAAAAAATATTTTTTTTACCAATGACAGCCCCCAATTCCCCTAATAATTTAATCCACCACTCCCCCACCACCATCAAAAAAGTTCAAGTGCCTCCCGCTCCCTCATTCTTCCGAAGAGTTGCATGATAGACTCTAAATGCGACTTTTGTCAAGTTGAACTGAGGTGCAAGGTTTAGGGGTATGACTACGACTATATTTAGTATCAATGTGCAGTCACTACGTGAAGATCAAAATCATGTTATAATGCCGTGTCTTTTTATAAAACTAATTTTTTCGTTCCCGGTTAAATTTAAAGTTGAGGTGATAAATTTGGTTTCGGTTTAGTGAAAAAGACATCACTATCAACCGCGAGCGCCCGTTGTATTTCTCCCTCAACGGGACATTTATCTAGTACGAGCCGACCCGCGGCATATCATACGCCGCTATTTAGTTGTTTTATTTTCTACTTTTCAGTAATTCATAATTTATGAATTCGACAGTACCACTGCTGCCACTGAAAATATTTGCTTTAAAACACTATCAGTAGGTCGTTAAGGACGATACTACCCCCACCCTCCTTTCCCCCAACCCCTACCCAACACCCCCCCCCCCCGTGAAAGCAGCCTCCTCTTAGTTACATCCCCTTAGTTTAAATTCGTTTCAAACTAAATTATCTGCCCCTAATAGCCGTCACTAAACCCGGCTCTACGATTGTAAACATTTAGCGTGAACCACAGCTCACCAGACCATGTAGGGGTGGGGTGGTAGGGAGCGCGCTTACAGCTTGGTGTTTTCAAGCGTCTCCAAGAAGAGAATTATATATATATATATATATATATATATATATATATATATATATATATATATATATATATATATATATAGATTATACTATATTTGTCTACCATCTACTTTCTTTCATTGTATTTTACTTTCTATTATATTCTATTATTATAGTATAATTATTATATTATACTCTATTAGTTTCCAATGAAGTCTGTTACATTCTACTTTATCACTATTCTAATGTGTGTTGTGTGAGGGAGCGTGTGGTGGTTGTATGAAAAGTAGTGTGAATGTTGCAGTGGCGTAGCCAGGATCGTTTCAGAGGGGAGGGGGGATCAAATTTTTTCCATCATTATATATATATATATATATATATATATATATATATATATATATATATATATATATATATATATATATATATATATATATATATAATATATATAAATTGAAAGTAATACTCTGAAGAAATACGAAAAAATACACAATGATGGCCGACGAAACAAAAAAATTCTCTAAACAAAAAAAATAAATAAATAAAACTAAATCAATACACACACAATACAACAAAAAACAATGAAAGCAACACAATCTGTTTTGTAATCCTTGTTTAAAAAAATTGACATAATGATTCCTGGAATATTAATTAAGACACGCGAAGTAGTGGAAATAATCACCCTTTTAGTATAGAAATGTGTATGTCTACCCATTTAATGGTATATGTCAAAACAGATCAATAACTACTTTAGTATGTAATATATGAGCTTAATACTATTCTTTGTTTTTTGTTTTTTTAATGTTGTCTACATTTAGAATTAAATATATTGTCATCATAAATGCTAAAATATTACAGATTAATGAAAGAATTTGAAATCAGAGTTTTTATAAAACCACGCTTTTTACAAGCTTTTATTTAACTCACTTTCTCGTCAGTCTGTCGTCAGTCTAGATCGAAACGCAGGAGCGAAAATTCGGACATTTCTACTTGTCAGATACCATTCACATTGGGCACGTTGGTCAAGACATGAAGGAAATGTATCGTGCCTAATTAAGTTTTTATGAATTAATTAAAATTTGGACCGAATTAGTAGGCATGTCTATCGAACAGCACCACACGCGTCATCACGTTCAATAGCGCGTCATCACGTTTCAATCGGCGCGCAATGGTTTTTAGTCATGAAACTCTAGTGTAAATAAAAACATGTAAAGTACTAAAATTTTTTTCATAAAAAACGTTTTAATAACAAGCTTTTATGTAATAATGCACTAAAAAGTAGAAAATAAATTTAAGACTACTATTTAAAAAACTAGAAAGAAAAGCGTGGGTCACTTTTGTATCTATTGGATACCTTTAACTAATGTTTAGGAAGAGACCTACGCTTTTCTTTATAGTTTTTAAATAGCAGTCTTTAATTTATTTTCTACTTTTTAGTGCATTAGTACATAAAAGCTTGTTATTAAAACGTTTTTTATGAAAAAAAAATTATTTTAAAGAAAAAGTAAATTTAATAGGTGGAATATTCTGAATAACAGCCTACATGTAACTTAAATATTGGTCTTTCAGTTCAGATCATTCATTTTTTTTTAATTAGCTACTGTTTTTGTGTTCTTTAAAGATCATTTTTTAACAAAATGATAAAGTATGGGTTAAATCACTGTATTGCTCACACACCTCTTTACTGGTAGTTGCAAAAACAATATTTACAGAGTTTTACCTGTTTCAAAAAGTATGATTCTGGCGGCATGCTACATTGGTACATCATTACGCGTTTTCCCAAATGTGCTTAACAAATCAGTTTGGGGTTGGTTGGGGGGGGGGGGGGGGGTTCAACTTCATTCACCGCTGTCCGGTCACTTTAGGTCAATTATCCTACCCAGCGTATACCTAGGTGTGACATTAATGTCGCTCTACACTTTACCAACCCAGAGTGAACATAGCGTCAGTTTTTAGGTGACTGTTCTAAACATACATATACATATATTAAACATATATATACATATACATACATTAAACATATATACTGATTCAGTTAGATAAGCAAAGCAGATGCCTATTTTTTAAAACTTCAACTGTTGCATATCATTCAGTAAGGCAACTCAAAATTAGTTTTTGAATTCTCTTTTTTAGAGTCGCCGCCCGGGGCGACCGCCCCACTTGCGCTCCCCTAGCTACGCCTATGGTAGTTGGGACTTGTGTTTTCTTGTTCCGCCGCTGAGCACCACTGCTGCAGCATTGTTACCCCTATGCACATACACGGATTGATTACTGTCAACAGGGGCTGCGCCGAGAGGATTAATTCCATTGACTGTAATCCACACGGCTTTAGCTGGTGGATTCACCAGCCCCTATCCATTGGATTGAATTGTACACGATAGCCAGCTCAGCTGTACAGGGAACAGTCAGCGTGTGTTCGCCCAACTAAACAGGTCATTTGTAAACAGCTAGAGGTCATTTGCAAACAGCTACAGGTCATTTGGAAACAACTATAGGTCATTTGGAAACAGCTAGAGGTCATTTACAAACAGCTACAAGTCATTTGTAAACAGCTAGAGGTAATTTACAAACAGCTAGAGGTAATTTACAAACAGCTACATGTCATTTACAAAGAGCTACATGTCATTTACAAACAGCTACATGTCATTTACAAACAGCTACATGTCATTTACAAACAGCTACATGTCATTTACAAACAGCTACATGTCATTTACAAACAGCTACATGTCATTTACAAACAGCTACATGTCATTTACAAACAGCTACATGTCATTTGAAACAGCCACGGTGTGCTAGTCCACCGAAGAATGACGACATGGGTGGATTCAGTTTTACCCCGGGTGGAGGGAGCGGGTGGAGGGAGCGGGTGGAGGGAGCGGGTGGAGGGAGCGGGTGGAGGGAGCGGGTGGAGGGAGCGGGTGGAGGGAGCGGGTGGAGGGAGCGGGTGGAGGGAGCGGGTGGAGGGAGCGGGTGGAGGGAGCGGGTGGAGGGAGCGGGTGGAGGGAGCGGGTGGAGGGAGCGGGTGGAGGGAGCGGGTGGAGGGAGCGGGTGGAGGGAGCGGGTGGAGGGAGCGGGTGGAGGGAGCGGGTGGAGGGAGCGGGTGGAGGGAGCGGGTGGAAGTAGCGGGTGGAGGGAGCGGGTGGAGGGAGCGGGTGGAGGGAGCGGGTGGAGGGAGCGGGTGGAGGGAGCGGGTGGAGGGAGCGGGTGGAGGGAGCGGGTGGAGGGAGCGGGTGGAGGGAGCGGGTGGAGGGAGCGGGTGGAGGGAGCGGGTGGAGGGAGCGGGTGGAGGGAGCGGGTGGAGGGAGCGGGTGGAGGGAGCGGGTGGAGGGAGCGGGTGGAGGTGGCGGCTTTTCAAGTCATTTTCTTTTTTCTTCAAAGATTTGAGTTTGACAGCCTATGGGCTGGATCATTCTGCTGTTGTATGAAATACTAGTGTACCCGTCCCGCGCGTCACTGCGGTCTCATATGAAATGTTGACGCGATATTTTAAGAAGATTTCATCAATGCGTTATCAATCGTGTATTTTCTAGACGCGTGACATTCTTTATGAAAGTCTTTAATAGTGAGGTGGACATTAATATTGAGGTGGACATTAATAGTGAGGTGGACATTAATAGTGAGGTGGACATTAATAGTGAGGTGGACATTAATAGTGAGGTGGACATTAATAGTGAGGTGGACATTAATAGTGAGGTGGACATTAATAGTGAGGTGGACATTAATAGTGAGGTGGACATTAATAGTGAGGTGGACATTAATAGTGAGGTGGACATTAATATTGAGGTGGACATTAATAGTGAGGTGGACATTAATATTGAGGTGGACATTAATAGTGAGGTGGACATTAATATTGAGGTGGACATTAATAGTGAGGTGGACACCGCGGCGACCGTCAGGGGCCTCACGGATTTCCACCTTTCATGAATTATTATATTTTAAGCCCAGTAAAGACGGAATTCATTATCTTCTACCATATTTTGAGGTACTCAGATAAAAATCAAAATAAACTAATGTACTATGAACTTTCAAATTTTGGGGTCTGAAAGTTAGTGGGGTTTTTTTTCGATTATTTAAGAGCAATAAAAGATAGAGGCTAAGTTTTGATTTTTTCATGCTTGAATTTTGGACCCCTAAACATCACATGTTACGTCACCTGTCATGTCACAACATCAAGGTGACGTCACCTGTCACGTCACAACAAACTGACCTGGACGGCATGGAGATGCCCGATGCAAGTATTCAGCTGCTATGGTAAACTGGTGGTCTAGCCGGTGGTCGGGTCTGTGGTCCAGCCGGTGGTCCGGTCTGTGGTCCAGCCGGTGGTCCAGCCGGTGGTCGAGTGAGTCAACTGGTGGTTGTAACATTCCTGGCGGTGGTTGCTGCTGCTGTTGGCTAGGGAACAGCTGCTGTCATCACACACACACACAGCTGTTGGGTTGTCACACAGCTGTTGGGCTGTCACACAGCTGTTGGGTTGTCACACAGCTGTTGGGTTGTCACACAGCTGTTCGGTTGTCACACAGCTGTTGGGTTGTCACACAGCTGTTGGGCTGTCACACAGATCTTGGGTTGTCACACAGCTGTTGGGCTGTCACACAAATGTTAGACTGTCACACAAATGTTAGACTGTCACAGTTTCCTCGGCCTTTTTAACGGTTGCTGGTGAGCTCAAACTTTGAGCTCTGTGTCGCTTGTCGTGAGCAGCGCCAGAAGAAGTCAGGCTCGTCGTCTGCTGTCTGACGTCTGAAGGTGCCCTAGGGACTAGGGACAAAGTGGGCGGGGCTACAACCAGCCACGCCCCATCGACCTGGGCTGGAGGTGACGAATGGCGGCCAGTCGCAGCAAATCACGTGACACAGACAGGGCAGACAGACACATACAGGGCAGACAGATACATACAGGACAGACACACACATACACGGCAGACAGATACATACAGAACAGACAGACACAGACAGGGCAGACAGACACAGACAGGGCAGACAGACACATACAGGACAGACAGACACAGACAGGGCAGACACATACATCGCAGACAGACACATACACGGCAGACAGATACATACAGGACAGACTAAACTGGCCGAAAATGTCAAACTATATTTAAACACATCTACACATATCCACACACATCCACACACATCCACACACATATCCACACACATCCACACACACATCCACACACATACCCACACACACACACACACACACGCATGCAGGTAAGATATTTGAATGTTTAAAAAAAAATCGATGACATCTTCGCTTATTGAACTTATGACGTCATATGCTCTCACACCTGCAATGACCACCAGAGGTCTGCCACGCCCACTTGTTCATCAGACACGCGCGGCCAACGTCACGTGACAGGCTGGCTGTGATTGGTCGCTATCCGCGCCAATCTTCGCCCTCTGACGGCTCGTGTCTGCTTATTTGCTCGACCTCGTGCTGTCAGAGATGCAGGGGTGTCGCTGTAGGGGGGGGGGGGGGCGTCGTTTAGGATTGCTTTAGGGGGGGCGTCGTTTAGGGTTGCTTTAGGGGGGGCGTCGTTTAGGGTTGCATTAAGGGGGGGGGGCGTCGTTTAGGGTTGCATTAAGGGGGGGGGGGCGTCGTTTAGGGTTGCATTAAGGGGGGGGGCGTCGTTTAGGGTTGCTTTAGGGGGGGGGCGTCGTTTAGGGTTGCTTTAGGGGGGGGGCGTCGTTTAGGGTTGCTTTAGGGGGGGGCGTCGTTTAGGGTTGCATTAAGGGGGGGGGGGGCGTCGTTTAGGGTTGCTTTAGGGGGGGGGGCGTCGTTTAGGGTTGCATTAAGGGGGGGGGGGGCGTCGTTTAGGGTTGCATTAAGGGGGGGGCGTCGTTTAGGGTTGCTTTAGGGGGGGGGGCGTCGTTTAGGGTTGCTTTAGGGGGGGGCGTCGTTTAGGGTTGCTTTAGGGGGGGGGCGTCGTTTAGGGTTGCATTAAGGGGGGGGGGCGTCGTTTAGGGTTGCTTTAGGGGGGGGGCGTCGTTTAGGGTTGCATTAAGGGGGGGGGGCGTCGTTTAGGGTTGCTTTAGGGGGGGCGTCGTTTAGGGTTGCTTTAGGGGGGGGGGCGTCGTTTAGGGTTGCTTTAGGGGGGGGGCGTCGTTTAGGGTTGCTTTAGGGGGGGCGTCGTTTAGGGTTGCTTTAGGGGGGGGGGCGTCGTTTAGGGTTGCTTTAGGGGGGCGTCGTTTAGGGCTGCATTATGGGGGGGGGGCGTCGTTTAGGGTTGCTTTAGGGGGGGCGTCGTTTAGGGTTGCTTTAGGGGGGGCGTCGTTTAGGGTTGCATTAAGGGGGGGGGGGGCGTCGTTTAGGGTTGCTTTAGGGGGGGGGCGTCGTTTAGGGTTGCATTAAGGGGGGGGGCGTCGTTTAGGGTTGCTTTAGGGGGGGCGTCGTTTAGGGTTGCTTTAGGGGGGGGGCGTCGTTTAGGGTTGCTTTAGGGGGGGGCGTCGTTTAGGGTTGCTTTAGGGGGGGCGTCATTTAGGGTTGCATTAGGGGGGCGTCGTTTAGGGTTGCATTAAGGGGGGGGGGGGGCGTCGTTTAGGGTTGCATTAGGGGGGGGGGCGTCGTTTAGGGTTGCTTTAGGGGGGGCGTCGTTTAGGGTTGCTTTAGGGGGGGGGGCGTCGTTTAGGGTTGCTTTAGGGGGGACGTCGTTTAGGGTTGCTTTAGGGGGGGGGCGTCGTTTAGGGTTGCTTTAGGGG